TCATGCTGACATTTTTGTTTTGGGGTTTTCCTGATGATCTTTCTTAGAAGATGTATCTTCTGTCGCTATAGCTGTTCCAAACTGATCTGCTTGTCTTTTCTAGTGGGAATGTTCCACCTGATAAGATTCTGGATGGGACTCAGGATTCCTTCCACCTAAGGTCCTGTATGCTACAAAGGCTTTGCAAGAGGCCTATTTCACTGGGCAAGTTCGGAATTTTATTTTGCTGAGTTGTTCTAACAACAAACAAACAAACAAACAAAGTCAATGATAATGAAAACTTTAAAAAAAAAAAAGAGAGATTCAACTTATGTTAGAATCGACTTACAATGGAGTTGTCAAAACTACCACATCTCTTTGCTTACCAGCCTCTGCCCATTAATTCTATCTTCTCTCCAATAACTTGGAGGTAAATTATCTATATGCCAGGCAAAGGACAATTCCTAGACTTATTATATAAAACCCAGTTCTTAACTAACAGGGATGTGGCACCAATAATTCTGTTCTCTTCTATGTTATAAATTTTCCCCTCCATTGGCTCTTTCCATTAGCATATAAGCAAGCAATTATTTTTCTCATTTAAAAAATCCTCGCTTGATTTCACTCCCCCCTCCAGTCATTGTCCTACTTCTCCCCTACTCTTCTGACAAACTCTTCAAGAGACTTGTGGTCTTAACCCAGGCTTCCTAGAGAAATAAAATATATTGACAAACTGAAGATTTCTATAGGCTTCTGTTCCAAGATCCATCAGTCAGGGAATGCCAAGAGCACAGAGTAGAGAGAAAGTGAGTTCCGCCAAAATATGGGTTTATAGTCTGGAGGCAGACTACACTCTAAGGAACTTCCCTTTCAATTTATTGATTAGATTACTTTATGGGACAGCAGCTAAATCACTGGGAACCATAGCCAAGCCAAGTTGACATATAAAATTAACCATCACAGTTGTCTGTACTATTCTCCTTCCATTCTATCTTGAGCCCACTCCAATCAGGATTTTTGCCCTCCTTCTCCCAAATACCCCCATGCACACGCCACTGAGACTGTTCTTGTCAAGGTCACCAATGATGTCACATTGCTTGACTCAATGGTCAATCCACAGTCTCCATCTTACTTCACTATAACAGGTAGCGTAGCTGGAAACTATTTCCTCTTGGAAGTCCTCTCTTGGTTTTCCACCTTCTCTAACTGCCACTTCTAAGTCCCTTTTGCTGGTTTCCTCCCCTTTTTAACCTTTAAATATTGCAGAGCTCAGTCTTTGAATTCTTTCTCTTTCCCAGTGTTATGTATTGAGTTGTTATGTATTACAAAATAGATGGTGTAAACTCTAACCCCTGTTCTCATTTGGTAGTACAGTGGTTAAGAGCTTGACCGCTAACCAAAAGATTAACAGTTTGATGACAGCCTTGGGGCACTTCTACCCTGTCAGGTGGCTATAAATAGAATCTACTCAATGGCAGTAGGTCATTCCCATTTGGGAACAGGGTTTTGTTAATGAGACAGTATTCATGTAGGGGAACTCCTGGTGTGGCACTGTAGGATTAGCACTGGGTTTTTATTTTCTCAGACTTTCAGCACAATCATCTTAATTCATGCCCATGTGTAATCTCACATCCTCACACCAACTCTAAGAGTGAGATATATTCTCTCCATTTTCCACACAAGAAAAGTGAGCTCTAGAGAAATTACATGCCAGAGGCCACATAGTTAGTAAGTTGCAGAATTCAGACCACCAGCCTTTTTGATTCACTTCAAGCCTGTAAACTCTGGGCTTCAGCACTCCCTAGAAATGACACCAGAGCTGAACCACAGGGAGTCAGGAACCAAGGGATGGAGAAGCTGGGAGTCAGCAGCAAATCTCCACAAAAGAAAGACTATGCCATTAAAACTTTCAGGTATCAGATGCCAAATGTATCATTGCATTAACTGATTTGTTTTGCCGTGTTTCTTATACTTGTTGTTTGCATGTTTACTGTTTGTCTTGCCTTTAGACTGCTTCACTTTCTATGGATTTCCACACCTAGCACTGTGGTTAGTACATTGCATTCGGGAAGGTCAATGAATAAATGACCAACAAAATCAGAAATCATTCTGTTTAATATTCTCAGTGTTATCAGACAGATCCAAGGTAACTCACTCCACTTATGGGTATCTAACCAGTTCCATAGAGCACTATCCCCAGACTAAGAGACCCCTCAGAGGTGCTGGGAGCCACACCAAGATCTCTTTCCCTTTTACTTCTATTGTCCTTCTCTGTTGTTGTTAAGTGTCCTCAAGTTGGTTCCGACCCATAACACTCCTGTGTAGGGTTCTCGAGGAGCAGCTAGTGAGCTTGAACTGCTGACCTTGTGGTTCTAAGTGACTTTGCAGTCCAGCTCATTAACCCACAGCACCACACCCCTACAATTAACTCATTCAACAAATCCTAGTTGAGCACCTGCCTTGTGCTAAGCACAGTCTTCATGATGCTTACAGTCTAGAGTAAAAGAGGCAAACATTAAACTAAAAATCACACAAATAGAGAGGAGACAAGTATAATCATTATCAAAAAGCAAGAGTTGTGCCATCAAGTCAATTTGAACTTGTGTTGTTGTTGTTGTTGTTGCTAGGTGTCATCAAGTCAGTTCTAATTCATAGCACAACACTGCCCAGTCCTGCACCATCTTCCCAATTGTTATGTTCCAAGTCATAGCTTAGAATTGTGTCCCATTGAGTTTCTAGGGTTTCCTTATAGGAGTGTTATCACCAGATCTTTTCTCTTGTGGAGCTAAGGGGTAGGTCTGAACCACCAATCTTTTGATTAGGAGTCAAGCAATGTAACTATTGTGCTGCCAAAAATCAAAGTGGACTCATAGTAAGCCTAAAGGACAAAACAGACTGCTCCCTATGGCTTCCCAGGCTGTAGTCTTTATGAAAGTGGAAGCAGATTACCACATCTTTCTCCCATGGAGCAACTGGTGGGTTCAAATGCCAGTCTTTCAGGTAGCAGCCAAGCACTTAACAAATATGCCATCAGGGCTCCTTATAAAGGAAAGAGGTTATTTGTTGCTGAGTCTATTTCAATATAGCGATCCTATAGGACAGAGTAGATCTGCCTCATGGAGTTTCCTAGCCTAAAATCTTTACAGCAGTAAGTTATCAGGTCCTTTCTCCTGTGGAGTTGCTACTGGGTTCAAACCACCAACCCTTCAGTTAGCACCCAAGCTCTTAACCACTGTACCACCAGGGCACCTTCAAAGGAAAAATTGTTATTGTTGTTAGGTGTCATCTACTCATAACGATGGGGTTTCCTAGGAGTGACTGGTGGGTTTGAACTGCTGACCTTGTGATTAGCAGTCCAGTTTAGGAGTCCCGACTATAGAGAGGAGAGAGTGTCTTGGAAGGTCTCCAGACCAGGATAAAGATTCCCAGAGAGGGAATGAGACTGAAGGATGGTGAGTGTGCCTACAGTGCAGTTGATGATGGTCTTGTATCGCTGGTGGTGTGCCTGCTAGCATCTGCCTGTAGTGGGAAGACATCTTCTGTTTACAGTTTAACAGTCTTCCCACAAGGATGGAAGGCACAAACAAGCCTGCCTGACCCTGACTCACTATGGGACCCGAGTTCGATCCTCCGTGTCTCTATGTCCAGAAATCCCGAGTCTGGCTACAGTTTCCAGTTAATTGTTCACTGCAAGTCACTCTACCTGGGGTTATTAGAATGGCCTGGCAGTGTGCTAAAGAAGAAGCCACTGGGGACCGAGATAAAATCCTAACAAGGAGGGCTTCACCTGGGAAGCTGGGGTGAGGCCAGAGCTGTACGGAGGGATGATAGCCACTGCCCACTGGTGACCTTCTTCTTCGCTGCACCCTCACCTACCTCCAACCCCCAAGCAGTTCAGGCCAGGCAGAGGAGGCTGGAATGCAGGGCTGGCAGCAGCTGGAAAAAGTTAAGAAGGCTGTTTGGTCTGATGGCTATGGAGACAGAATTGTGTTTATCCAGGAAAAGAGGTCCGACGTAGGCAGTGGAGGCCCCTGCCAGCTCCTCCCAGAAGGACTAAGCTGGGAGAGTGCGCTGAAGAGGAAGCTGCTCCGCTCCGGGTTGTGCAGGCTCCAGGCCAGAAGCCAGGACCCAGCAGCAATCCACAGGTGAGGCCTGCACTCCGGGCACCCAACAGAGACTCCCTGGGGCTCTCCGTTCGCAGTCTGGATAGATGGTTGCGATTTGCAACGCGGGCTCCAGGGAGTGCAGCACCGGGGTGCGGTAAGAGCGAGCAGGTGAGTGACGGAGCTAGTAGCAGAGAAGCCTCCCGGAGCCCGCTCTGGTGACCGCTGAGAATCAATGCCGCCTTTGTGCTCCGCGTTTCCAAGGGAGAAAAGGAGTGGAGAGTGGGAGGGACGGCCCAAAGGTGTATCTCCTTGAACCGGCTCCTAGTGCCCTCAGGTCAGCAGCCAATAGTGCAGTGAGCCTGCTTCGGGCCTGCAGTGGCTTCGAAAAGTAAGGGAGGAGCCCATAGAGGCACCAAAGGATGGCTCTGTACCGAGACAGGAACGTCTGAGCAGGGCAGGGAATCCTGAGGGGCTCGGAGGAGGAGAGCCAAAGTCTTCCTAATAAGGGTGGAGTGGAGGGGGTTGAAGCTGCCTAGAGTCTCGGTGACGCTTAAGGGGTCCTGAATATATGAACCGGGTCGAGGATTTGTGTCCATGTTTGTGACTACATACCTTTTGGTAATACCGATGTTGTTCTACTAGGGGGTGTGTTGTGTCTTCGAACTCTGAGGCAGGTGGGGGCATCTGTACTGGGTGTCCGAGGCCTGCATCTAGAAATGTGACGGACTGGCTCTCCTCGAGTCCCCCAGATTTGACTGCCCTTTGTCTTTCCAGCTCAAACAGAGACCCGTGCGCCCCCAGGGTCCCTGGAAGGAGACGGAGTGGCGGTGCACGCGGATGTATACTCAGCATTACCCACCTCTGCCGGCCTTCCAACCTGAGACCCTAGAGATTTTCATCACTCCCACCCACCGCATGTGGCTCTTGGAAAAAGTTGGCTACAGAGTGGGCACCGCGGAATCTGGGACCTGGTGGGCGCCCTCCAACTTGTTCCCTAAGCGCAAAGCCCCTGGCCCGCCCGCCCACGCCTGCCCCAACATCCTCACCCCCGACCGCATACCGCAATTCTTCATCCCGCCTCGGCTCCTGGACCCAGGGAGCGCCGAACCCCTGATCGGGAGCGAGGCAGGTGGGCGAGGGCTCCCTGCCGGGTGTTCTTTGCCGCACCTGGCGGGCCGCGAAGGCTGGGCCTTCCTGCCTGAGAGCCCGCACACGCGCCGGCGCGAGTCCCTATTCCACGCACCGTTGCCCGCGCCCGCCGTGGGACGCCCCCCAGTGCAGTCCCGGCTGTGCGTCTCCGCCCCGGACCTGCGCCTTTGCCGCGCCCCGGACAGCGACACCGCCTCGTCGCCCGACTCGTCTCCCTTTGGCTCCCCGCTGCCGGGCCCTGGCCGAGTCCGGTCGCCCAGGCCGCACTCGCTGTCCCCGGAGGAAGCGAGCTCGGCCGACACGAGCCCGTATGCGCCACGCCGCGCAGGGCCGCCCACGCCACCGCTCTTCCACCTCGACTTCCTGTGCTGCCAGCTGCGGCCCACCAAGGAGAGCGTGCTGCGCCTGGGACCCCGCGGCGGGCAGCTGCGGCTCTCGGCCGAGTACCTGGCCGGGCCCAGGCGGCTACGGCTGCGCCTGGTGAGCGCCGAGGGCCTGGCCAGGCCGCGGCCAAGCCCCGGGAGTGGCGGAGGCGGCTGCTGCGTGGTGCTGAGACTGCGGCCGCGTGTGCGGCCCCGGGGCCAGCGCAGCCGCGTGGTCAAGTGCAGCGCCAACCCCATCTTCAATGAGGACTTCTTCTTCGACGGGCTCTGCCCACCAGACCTGGCTGCGCTCAGTCTGAAAGCCAAGGTGCTGGACAGGGGCGCTGGGCTCCGCAGGGACGTGCTTCTAGGGGAGTGCGAGATGCCCCTCATTGCCCTGCTGCCCCCCTTGGGTGGAGGGTTAGGCCCAGGGACCTCCCTAGCGCCCACCCACCTCAGCCTCTAGTTTGAGATCATTTTTTCCTCAGGATGTCTCCGCTGAGTCTGCAATTTGTCATTCTTTCCATCTGCCCGACATGTATTTATTTTTGCTAATAAAATGTTTGTTAGTCTCTATCTTGGAGCTCTCCCCTCTTTGGCACCCTACATGACCAGATCTATAGTCTGCCCTCTTCCCTCTGCCCTGGCGGTAGAAAAGATGGAAGCTCACTTAGTCTGAGTTGGAGCAGGCCGTGAGAGTGCGTCTCACACTTTAAAAAACATCAGAATGGCCAGACAGCATAAACCCTGGGCTCAGAATGAGCTTGCTAAATAAGAGGAATCCTGGGCTCCACCCAAAAGAAGAGCTAGTTCAGAAGATCTGGGTTGGGTAGGTCACTTCCCAACAAGTCCCCACCCCTTCAAGTAGCCCTCCAATCACTGAGTAACTCTGGAAAAAAATCTGTGACCAAACCAACACAACCCACCTTCCTCCAGGAGCTCCTGCACAAAAGTCACTCACCACTCCCCCATTCCCTGCACACACACCCATATCAGTCCTACATGGGTCATGGAATGTCACACCAATGCACAGTGCCCTATGAGCTTCCTGCCTCAGGCTTATCCCCTGGGAGCCTGTACCACCCTAGGGCAAGACTGGGGATGAGCAATAACTAGCCAGAACACCTACTCTGCGTGTGAAAGCTGTTCTCTAGGAAGCTAGAAAAGAAAGAGAGGACAGAAGATGCATAAATGTAGGTCAGACTGTGTTTACCTCCTACTTGAATGTCCCTGACGTCAGCAGTGACCTTCTTCTCTCTCCCTCCACCTTCCCTGGAGCTGATTCTTCTGGGCAAAGGCCAGGTTTGAAGGAGAGAGAGAGGGAGGCAGGCAGTGGGCCAGCTCAGCTTCTTCCACCCTCCCCTTTGGGTTTTTTCTCATATCCCATAGTGCCCTCTGTGGCCACAAACCAGAGCAGAGCCTGCTGGAGCCTGATGAAACCTCAGCATATTGCAACTACAACACAACACAACACACACACACACACATTCACTCTTCCAGCAAGATCTATCCTCAGTTTCCTCTTCCTTCTCCTAGATTAGATCCCATCCCAGCCCTGGTAGTGTAGCAGGTTGGGCTGTTAGCCACAGGTCAGCAGGTCAAATCCACCAGCCAGCCTGCAGGAGAAAGATGAAGCTTTCTGCTCACATCAAGATTTTTTGCAGCCTGGGAAACCCTATACAAGGTCTCTATGAGTCAGAGGAGTCCTGGTGTGGCACTGTGGGTTAATATGCTGAACTGCAACACCGGCAGTTCAAGCTCACCAGCCACTCCTCGAGAACCCTATACCAGGTTGTTATGGATCAGAACCTACTCAATGGCACTTAACAACAACAAATGAGTCAGAGGAGTCCTGGTGTGGTGTTATAGGATTAGCACTGGACTGCCAACCACAGGTCAGTGGTTCAAACACACCAGTTGCTCCTCAGGAATCCTATACAGGGTCACTATGAGTTGGAACCTACTCAATGGCACTTAACAGCAATTTGAGTCAGAACCAACTCCACAGCAAACAGCCCATAGCAAGGGAAAGATTGCTGCAGTGTCCACCAGGTGGTGCTATCGATCAAACAATAAGTGCTAACAGCTACAGATAGTTTATGCCCACATCCCCATTCAAGAAATTGTTACAATGCCTTTCCACCATTTGTCAAGGAGCTCTGGTAGCTTAGTGGTTACGAATCGGGCTGCTAACCTCAGGGTCAGCAGTTAGAAACTACCAGCTGTTCCACGGGAGAAAAATGAGGTTTTCTGCTCCCGTAAAGATTTACAGCCTCAGAAACCCTGTACAGGGTTGCTATGAGTCGGAACCGACTCCATGGCACACAACAACAGCCACTTGTCTATCAGTTTGTCGTACTGTGGTGGCTTGCATGTTGCTGTGATGCTGGAAGCACTGGTATTTTGAATGCTGGCAGGGTCACCCATGGTGGACAGGTTTTAGCTAAGCTTCTAGACTAAGACATACTTGGCAGGAGACGTGGACTACTTCCTAATGTTTAGTCATTGAATATCTAATGAATAGCAATGAAACACTGTCGGAAAGCACCAGAATATGGAATACTGAAACATGATGAATGGCTCCAGAATATTGTATAGAACAGGAAAATGAGCCCCTCAGGTTGGAAGGTACTCAAAGTATGACTAGGAAAGATCTGCCTTGTCAAAGTAGAGTAGACCCTGATGACACAAATGGACTAAAGCCTTCAAGACCTTCATTTGCAGAAAGGGCACAACTCAAAATGAGGAGAAACAGCTGTAAACATTCATTAATAACTGGAACATGGAATGTATGGTGTATGAATCTACAACAATTGGAAGTTGTCAAAAATGAAATGGACTGGTACTGGTCATTTTGAATCCAACAATCACATGATTTACTATGCCAGGCATGACAAATTGAAGAGGAATTGCATCGCATTCATTATCAAAAAGAATATCTCAAGATCTATCTTGAAGTACAACACTGTCTGTGATAGGGTGATATCCATACACCTACAAAGAAGACCAGTTAATACAACTATTATTCAAATTTATGGACCAACTATTAGAACCAGTGAATATGAAATTGAAGAATTCTACCAACTTCTTCATTCTGAAATTGATCAAGTATGCAATCACAGAGGCATTGATAATTACTGGTGATTGGAATGCAAAGGTTGGAAACAAAGAGGAAGGAACAGTCATTGGAAAATATGACCTTGATGATAGAAACAATGCTAGAGGTCACATTTTAAACTTTTGCAAGATCAATGACTTCTTCATTGCAAATACCTTTTTAAAACAACATAAAAGACGATTGTATACATGGACTTCACCAGATGGCATACACAGAAATAAAATTGACTACATCTCTGGTAAGAGACTGTGGAAAACCTCCTTATCATAAAAAAAAAAACAAAAAAAACAAGGCCAGATTATGAGTAGACCATCAATTGCTCATATGCAAGTTCAGGCTGAAGCTGAAAAAAATTAAAACAGTTCACAAGAGCCAAAATGTGACCTTGAATATAGCCCACCTGAATTTAGAGATCTTCTCAAGAACAGATGTGATGCATTAGAGAGTAATGATAAAAACCCAGAAGAGTTGTGGGATGACATCAAGAACATTATACAGGAAGAAAGCAAAAGGTCGTTAAGAAGACAAGGAAGAAGGGAAAGGCCAAAATGAATATCAGAAGAGATTCTGAAACTTGCTCTTCAACGTAGAGATGCTAAAGCAACTGAAATAAATGAGGAGGTAAAAGAGCTGAACAGAAAAATTTAAAGGGCATCTCTAAAAGTCAAAGCCAAATATTATAATGAAGTATGCAAAGCTCTGGAGTTAGAAAACCAAAAAAGGAAGAACACACTCAGCATTTCTCAAGCTGAAAGAACTGAGGAAAATATTCAAGACTTGTCTTGCAATACTGAAGGGTTCTTTCATCAAAATACTAAATGATGCAGAAAGCATCAAAAGAAGATGGAAGAAATACAGAGTCACTATACCAAAAAGAAAAGGTTGATGTTGAACCATTTCAAGAGGTAACATATGATCAAGAGCCAATAGTACTGAAGGAAGAAGTCCAATGTGTATTGAAGGTACTGGCAAAGAACAAGGCTCTGGAAATTGATGGGAATACAAATTGAAATCTTCCAACAAACTGATGT